AAAGAAGACGGCAAATGGGGATTCGAATTGCATGTCTATCACATCCGCGCTAGGAAACGGGTTAATTACCTCTGAGGGTACACTGCAAGTAGTCTTCCTGCATTAATATATTTTTCGGCGGCAACTCTCATTTTCTTTTCTATACTTAAGGGGCTGTCTTCGAGTAACGGGCCAAGCAACGCTATGCCCGTAGCTTACCCTGTCCAATGTCCCCACTGTGCAGGATGCAACTTTATGGTGCATTTTGTACAGCGTGAAGGAGAACACCGAGGCCATCCTTGGACTCGATTCAATTTGCNTTTTTTTTTTCCGCTCGGCCCTAACAGTGAAAGGGCTACTGCGCGTCATGGTCGTTGTCTTCGTTCCCGCGCTCTAACAAAGGCAATTTAATCGTCCAGAAACTACGGGGTGGGGGCACTACCTCTGTGTTCTGGGTTAGCTGCTGCAGGAGAGCACCGTGGCATAGAAGGGCGGAGGAAACCATGAAAACCCCAGTCAGAGCAGTCGCTCCCACGAACAGAGGAAGCAGCTAGCTTCATGCTCCAGCCGTGGCGAGATGCGAGGAAGTCGCTTTACTACTGTGCTTCGTTTGTCTTCCAACTGCTGATTCCGTTGACGAATTTTGACTCTGGGAGGAAGCGGTCGTGGCCTAATCTGACAGGCCTACTTTCCAGGCACTTACCTGCAAGAACTGAGCAAATTCACGAAAAATAACTTCAGTCATGACTCTGTTCCGGCTGAGATTCGAACCAAAAATCTCCCACATACAAGTATAGACCTGTAAAGCTACACCAATTTACGCGGACCCCCGCGTCGTTAAGTAAATAAATAAGAAGAGACAATAATTCTGACGTTGGCAGTGTCAAGATGTTTTGTCATGTACGCATTTTCCATATCATAATCTTTCGCGAATTCCAACTGAACGTTAAATTACACGTAACTGTCAGCAAGCAACCAGCTCAGGGTAGGGCCAATGGGCACGGTGACCTACTCCCACCGCTACGGACTCCCTGCGCTCTGATGAGCTGACTGGACATGTTGTAACATCAGCAGTAAGAACCCCTCTTCCTGATTACGGACATGTGCTTGAGGACAAACTTCCTCTGCGGGCATCATGCGGTGACACATCCGGGCCGTAATTATTCACAGCGTTTAAAATTCTGCAAATAACTTACGTGGAGAGACTCACAGACATACATTAAAAGTAAATGTAAAGCTATCCCTGTAACAGACCGTGGAGGACCGCCCATAGGATTGTGAGACGTCGAGGTTCCCACATTTTATAGAAAATCAACTCATAGATGGCAGTGAGGTTGGCAGCTTTACGCTCCGGCTGCCCTTAACCCCCAGGAAGACTCCTGGTACTCATTTCTGTCAGAGACTGAGTCGACCCCAGGGCCATAGCGCGGCTGGAAGGAGTAGGTCAATTGAAAAATCAAATGACATCGGGAATCAGACCCGCGACCGTGTGGCTTGTAGCATACCTTATCCACTGAAAACTATGAAAAACTGCCCTGTAATTTTTTGCAGTTAAGGTAGGCCTATAAAAGGCGAACTTATCGATAAGCACCGTGCCATTGCAGACATTAAGTATGGGGGGGGATGGAGGTAAGTGTCCACGCAATCTGAACCTTGTCACTAGACTAGACTTCAGAGCAGGTCCTCCTCAACAAGCGATTCCTGTGACATCTGAGTTCCAAACGGTGTTGACTATGAAGACTGCTGTCGTGTATCTGCTTCATCTTCTACCTTGAAAGAGGAGGCACAAGTTTCCTCCGAAAAAAGGTTAGTATCTATCTACCAGACTGTACAGAGCGTCACATCCCAAAGAGACAGCAATTTCGAATATGATTCCTGTTTTGAATTTCCCGTTGAAGACTTATACTGTATTACATTTTGTAAAATCTTTCAACGAAATAAATGTTTGATGCATTCCGCCCTTTTTGGTAATGAAAACCTGCAATACAAATTATGAAAGGATTCTAGGCCCATGCCATCAGTTAAAACAGTAATACTGTCAGCCTTCCGTTTCCTCAAACCTTCTTGGGTAACTTAGCGACTATTGGGTTACAAAGGAGAACTCTCTTCCGTGGAGTTAGTTACTAAATGTAAAGAAAGACCAGAATGTAGGAGCGATATAACATTTATGAAAATGCAGGAAATGAAACGCAATCTGTAGTCCCAAATCAGAGGGGACGTTTCACACAAACCTCTCAGTGGCAGCCATAACACAAGAACACCAAGTGAATGCATTCACCATATTTTGTGGGTTATTGAACGGCGCTCTGAGTAGCTAAACTATATAACGTCAAAATTGGGAGACGACAAATATGACGGGATCTGGAAGGAAGCGGTCGTTCCCTAACCGAGATACTGTCGCGACATTTGCGCGTGGGGACTCTGAAAGCACGAAAAATATAAATCAGAATAACAGCATCTTCAAGACATAAGGCCACCCACTTGGTGTAAATACTGAAACTCACGCAGGAGACAATTCATCAAACGCTGTGGCCGAACAAGAAGATTGTGCTAGTTGCAAGGCTAACCACTGTTTATATTAACTGCAACTGGTGGAACCCGAGGCCAATTATCGCGTAGAAGGACGCGCCACTCCATTAGGCTGGAGGCTGGTGGAGGAAATGGTCGTGGCCTGATTATTAGTTCGGAGGAACTGAAGAAACCCAAGGAAAATGTTGAAGACCGAGATTTTCCTGCCTATTTATTTAACGATGCTGTCAGTATCTAAGACTATACAGAGTGTCCCAGGAGGAAAGGTCAATTATTCTGTGAGGTCATAGCCTCGGTCATTCTAAGGAAAAAGTGTGTGTATATATATGTATATATGTACATGTGTCCTATTCCGAACGGTTTCCGAGATAACAGTACCAAAACTGTTGATAAGAAACAGATTTTGCGTACCGTTTCAAATGCCGGTGACAAAGTGACAAAGTTGGTACAATTTACCTAGTATAATACATTTTCGAAAAGTCCACCATCAATGCACTTTGTAACTAGTGTGAGGACATAGCGTGTTGCTCGTCTATATATTCACCTTTCCTCCTGGGACATCCTGTATAGCGTTGAATGACTAATGCACGTTGAATTGGAAAAGAAATTCAGGGTAGCTCGCGGCCTAATTTGTTCACTACCTCGGTATTTGCGAGAAGGGACTGAGGAAGACGGAGAAAGCGTTACAGTCACAACAGTCAGTGTCCCAACTGATTCAGAAACGTTGCTATTGAGCCAACATGCCCGGCCTTTTTCGCAGAACTGCTATTTGTACTGACAGGCTGTAATTGCTGGAAGAGACACGACTGTCCTGCTCTAGAACCCAAAGGTTCGTCATCGTCATAAAATAAGATCGCGCACCTCCTAAGCAGCCGGGGTTCTAGGCGCAGCAACATTTCCTGTTGATGCCCCTGTGGTGAGGAACAGATGGCTCCAGCATTCTAATGAGTTGCAACACACTTTGATACGAATTCGTTCACCGACGTTGCTATCAACAACGTGACCGCAGCCTTCCTGCTAATACTCGTAGTAGTTAAACGTTGTCTGAAACCTGCTGAACTACAGGTTTCCACAGTGCTCACTGGCGTACGACAGTGACTGTTAAGTTCACTGACATTTCAGCCCACCGTTCTGTCCAAGCCTTCATGGTGGAAAAGTAAGCAAGTGACCAGCAGAGCAGAACTGGTTCATGTCTCGAGCCCTCTTCAATACTGACGCTGAGGCACTACGTTCTTCCGAAACGTCGGTGAACTTTTACCGGTCTACGCGGCGTCACATCCTGAAAGGTACTGACTAAAACAATTTTAAGGATACATACAACCCCACGGGATCTCCGCTATGGCGATCTATGTTGAAAACATAATATAGGGATTTTATAATCATGACGTAACGATATACGTCACTACTTGATGGTGACGCAACCTCGTATACGTTTTGAACGCAGAATATTACAAGTAGGCCCGAAGGCTGATTACACGGCATTGTTACGAAAGCAAGACGTGGCGGAGGAGGGGGTACAGATGGCATGCACAAAGATGCATTACCGGACACAGCTGGGTTTCCTGAATTGCTACAAGTGCCGGTAGATGAGAGGACGTCACAGAGGCGAGTGATTCACGCTGGCAGAAATCCCGTCTCTAACGCAAAGTGTTCCCAATTTTGCATAAATTGTCGTCTGTCCCCCAAGACGCTTTCCAACTAAAGTGCTGTAAGCGTTTGTTGGTTCCCCCACGCATGCTACATGCCCACCGTAACAATACAAGTATTGCTTACTCCAACAAAACCAAGTAGAAATCTGAATCAATTCAGCAAACACATCGTTTCTGCTTATCCTCGTACAGTTCCATACATTCAATTCGACTCATGAAATTCAAAATTCGTTTCTTCCGTCAAAAAATTTGCCATCAGCGAAATGAAGATTCATGTTGATGTCTTCTAGCAATGTCGCCGTGTAATTTGGGAGGTGATCATCAGCGTTCCGGAGGAATATCCTGCCAGGCGGGGCTGCAGGTTCCGTCGAAACCACAGTAACCGCGGCCTTATATGCTAGAAAAACGAAATCTTCTGGACGGCGTTCCTACCTATTTTGACTGCTTTACATTGGTACCGAGCACTTCGGAGACAATGCACTCTGGGTGCTGTGGACAGCGCAGCGCAGTGCAGACTGTGTAGCTTCAAGTGGTAGCATGAGTAATGAACAATAAAACTATATAGGATATGGTGATGGTCTATTTGAAGGAGCTGTCCAGAAATTTGCCTGAGGAGACTGAGTAATACCACGAAAAACCTCAGGAAATTCCCAAAAGCATCGCCGCCTAAGCCAAGCCAACAGCGTACAGGAGGGCCCTAGTGGTAAAGCCCCACGTAGTACGAACCTAGGAGACAGATTGCCGCAGTTGACGTGACAGGCGGGCGACCCCCTTCCCTTCCGCACCTCAGGCCAATATAACCAGCATCCGCGCGCGGAGTGATATCATTTGTAGTGAACCAGGTGAGCGTCCACAGGAGAACGCAGTGCTGTCGGGAGTTTCGCCGTCTCTCACAAGCTTTCTTGCAGAGAACACATAGACTTTCTTCAGTTTTGTGTGCGGGCGGTGTTAAACAGGTATTTGTGTGTGCGCGAGGTGTGTAGGAGGGCGCAACCGGTACAGTCCCGGCAATTGCCTCCAGCAAATGAAGAAGAAACCACAACAGATCTCAGTCAGAATGGCCAATGTCCTGGTCGAGCCTCGAACCGAGCACCTACCGAACATAAGCCTAGAGTGTTACCGCTACGTCAGCCTGCTCGGCCGAAACTGCTGAGAACATCTATCTGCACGTATAGGACCGAAAAATAATGAAAGACAAGACACTACGGGGAATGTCATGATCTATATACGTAACTCAGTAATGTTATTTGAGGTAACGATGGGATGACAACGAATGCATACAAAATTTTGATGGGGAAATCTATTGAAACACAGACCATAACATTACGATGGATTTTAGGGATCGAAGACACGCACGTTTTGGTGCTAGCAATGAGGAAGCTTTTGATTCTAGTAGCACAGTGCATCCTGCGTTCCACAACCGTAAAATGCAAGTTTATCTCTTTCCAGAAAGTATATATTTTTTAAAATTGCGTACTATATGTAGTATTAATCATTAACGGAAGTTCTTTTTTTTTTTTTNATCCATGACACTCCAGCGGTTGAGGAACACTACTACTAGCACATACATTAACACTCTGCACGCCGAATTTAATGTATGAAAACAAATTATCACCTCTCTGTGTACTTCCTTGGTAACTCATAATTTTCTTGCATCAAATGCCGTAGGCGACGTATAGACGTTCGCGTTTCGTAACGAGATATCTCGTTAGTAGCATGCAAGAAGAGGTCACGATTGAACTACACGAACTCGAGCGTGTCGTAACAACGGGGAGTTCCCTTGTAACCAGGTGAACTGGACAGCTCCTGGACGTTCTTTCTTATTCAGAATTTTGAAACTGTACGTCGTGGCGAGGGACCAAACACTGTAGAGATGTCTACTTTAATTGGATCTACGTTTCCTGCGATAAGCCACTCACTTTATGATCTAAGAAATATTTGAGATTCATACAAACCGAAGTTGAACCGACACGGATCAAATGTGCTTCTGGTGTGCGGCTAGAAAGCGCTTTGAGAGAAGAAACAAATTTTGAATTTACTGGGTAAAGTTTAGGAAAAGAAGTAAATGTTTTCAACTTGAACATAACTGAATGAAGGAAACTGTGTAAAAAAAAAAACCCACGTTCTGAATTTATGGAATTTCACTAATCAGACTGAATTAATTAAATTTTGGAGAAGAAACACAAACTGCAAAGGAGTCTACTGAACCCAGTAGTGAATTTGACTGCATGGGGTTAGACATGTAGAACATACCGCTGAAATTTTCGTGGGGAAATTAAAGGGTTAATGGGTTTATAGAGCAGACTTGCAACTATTATACACGAATTGTTCCATGTGACACGACAGATTGTATTAAAACCTTCAGAAACGTAACTTCAATTAAATCTAAATCCTTTTCAGTACACTCATTTTCTCCACACCTGAAGATAGAAAGACTTCATATTGCACACGCGACGAATGTATTGGGATGCCGATCATGTGATCTAATTCTGCAGACGATAAACTAAAAGAGAAGTGTTGTCAATTTTTCAGCCTTTGTCCATGTAAGGACGCCGCGACGCGCACTGCGTCCCTCAATCTGGGCAGCCCAGCAAAAACAGAAGCCACAAAGCCACAATCTTGTACTGCTTCGTAAGAAATTTGCGTCTTCCGTTGGGAAACGTCAAAGAGACCGACAAGTGGTTGAGGGGGGCCTTGGCGTAAACCTGCTTTCACAGCACTGCGCAGTATCAAAAGTGAAGGCTGCGATACGTCACCACCACAACCACCAGCACGTCGTCGTCGTCGTCGTCGAGGTTGTTGTTGGTTTTATGATGTTCGCGTCCAACAAACGGCAGGTGCTGTGTTGTTTCTAATTGCGCTGGAGTTCTCTCCCTGCCTATGCAAACAGACCTCATGAAAAGGTACTGAATAACGAGTAGGCTGAGTGCTAGCTGAGGCCGCAACTAAATCCATTCACGATACAGGTTTCATAATGGCTGCCATCCACACTGATAGCAGCGATCTTTCCCTCTCGCGGTATTTGTTAAGTTAGCAAAATTACGCCTTCCACTTTAAACTTAAGGTGAAATTCTTGTCCAATTTTGGAATCTCACAGCTATATTCTACTGTTTAACGACGTCAAATAACGCTTACACGGAGCTTAGCGCATATTTGCTGACCCAGCTTTGCCCGATGATTGGTACAGTTAATGCCAAAATTATTCACCACATTAGCATTTCTGGATCCTGTGGATGCCCAGTGTTGACACGTGGACGCTGGGTAGAAGAAATCCTTGGGAATCCCGCAACACCTGGTCAACGCGAATTAAGATACAGAACACGTCACATTCTCCAGTTTGCCCAGGTTCATCACAAACGAACCCGGGTCCGCTGCTTTAACCGTACGGAACGGGGTAAGGCGGCGGCGACGCTCTTAGACCTGTATTAGGGAGGTGCTCGGTTCTAGTCTCGGACACCGGCTTATCCTGACTCAGGTTTCTTGTAGTGATAAGACGCTGCCTTCCAAAGGTTTTCCAATGCATCTGACATCCTACCATTCGACATATATAT